TTTCCTCCAGTGAGTTCTTTTTAATATGCAACAGTACTGAATAGAAACAGCTTTTTCAATTATTTTTGAGACAAATGAAACATTTGATACCGGTCGATAGTTACTTTATGCCATGTCAAGGCCCTGTTTTTTTAACAATGGTAATACTATAGCATCTTTTAACTTTGATGGGAAAACGCCATTAGATAGTAAGGAATTAACAATACATTTCATATAGCCACTAATCTCACCAATACACTGTTTTAACACTCGTGTGGGAAGGGAGTCTAAGTCAAATGACTTGCTGGGCGATGCCTTAATTAGATTTAAAACATCATCTTCCGATAGTAATTCAAATTCATTTAAAACAGTAGTGTCACGAAAACTCGACCTTATTACATTAATCTTATTAATGAAATAGTCATTACAATTACATGCCAATTCCAAAGGTGGACAAGAGTCGGGATATGGTATTTCTTTCTTTGTGTGCAATAATCTGTCAATTATGTGAAACAATTGTTTTTGATCACCTTCATGTTCGCTAATGAGACCCGCAAAATACTCACGCTTACATTTCCACATACAACAATTCATGTTTGACCTCATAGGAAAACTGCCCGGGGTACTTCTGTGAACTCTGCTAAACAGTAAATATGTATCATTTAAAAATATTATTTTGTAACGTTAATTTTATATGAGCTCACATTATGTATAATTGGTTAATTATCTCTCGATAATAATCTATTATCGAGGGGGACATTTTCATTTCTTTCCTTTTCAATACGCAAATTGTGAGAAGAACAACGTAACCTTGACAACGCAGCTCTGAATTTGAAAGCATGGATGCAAGACAAATATTTTTCTTGATCAAGTGACGACTTAAAATTGTGATAGGAACATCGTTTGGGGGAAGAAGCAGTGTCGTCGTTCCATACTTATTGCACACAATCTTTATAATTAATTCTCTGTGCCATACATGGCCGAATCCAAAGCAAAATAGCAACATTAAAACCCCAATTTATCGACGTTATAAAACGTTGGTCGGATAATCTTTTTAACATTAAATAACATTTATGAGAATATCTATTAACATCCATTTGTAATAATCTCAGCCAGTAGCTAATGCATCTTTTAAAGTAAATAACATAGAGAGGAACTCGGCCACATTCTCCAACAGCTGATAAATCGCTTGAGTTATCACGTACACCGAGTAGAAATATTTGTTTACACATGTCACTGGTAAGCTAAGAATACCAGCACAAGTATTGGCCTTTGGAAACTGTGAATGCATTTCATCTGCTTCTTTCTCATGAAGGAATTGTACTTTCAGTTGATAACCGAAAACAAACTCACAACAGCCTGTGCTGAACATAAGAGTTTCTGCAAGATTTAGCTGTGATTCACTTTCTTCCACATCTTGTAGAAAATCTGTCCAGTGAGCAAGTACTCTGCTTTCTACATTATATGTATTTGATTTATTTTCGGATACTGCAAATGTCGCAGCAGTGAGTGGTACAGCCTCATAACAAAATGATGGCTTGAAGACAAAGGGATACTCTTGGATTGCTGCCAATATACCAAGGGTAGAGAGACCATTCTTGAGTTGGTCTAGGGCTGTTTTTGCTCTCCCAAATAGGTACCATTTGTCCCGAATAACTTTTTCCTTGTCTTATTCACTTTGAATGTGCATCTATATACAAGTTCTAGCAGATTCCCCAGGGTTCCACTTATAACACTGTTTGCTTCTTCAACATTAACATTCCTCAGTTTGAGCACATCTTCTTTCACTGCAGAACCTACAGGAAGATTTTTTCTTTTGTAGGTTTTACTGACTTACTTTCCATGTACTATTACATTGAAAAAATGGTCTGCAAAACAGAGGGGTACAGGACCTCCACGAACCAAAGACATAGAAATAATTTGGCCTACAATATAATATTCATATTCATCAACAGATTTACTAATGTGTGTTAGAAACTTGGTAATTGAAGTACTATCTAACAGATGGGATCCTACAATATGGTTCATAGTCAAAGTCAACATTTTCCAACATTCCACAACACCTTCTGAAGAGCTCTCATCATCAATGAATTTAACAGAGATTTTGTGGTTGAGACCCTTTTGACACGATCAATTCTGAAATGTTAAACTTTGATATCGCATCATGGTTAATTGTTCAGCTAAGTTACTCAATATATGCTAAAGTGGTATGTTTTCAACCGATGTTTGAGATATCTTTGGAGCATATTCTATATCAGATATGTGACAAACTTCTTCATCTCTGAATAAGGAAGCATACACACCATCAGCACCATGTTTATCATATGCAACAGATGGTCCAGGTATATTAGTGCTTGTAGAACATTATGATTTTCCTTGCCTTTTTGTTCTTGTAGGTGATTCTTACTTCTAAGTTTTCTAGATTGTGGATACTCATCTATTATATCTTCCACGACGGTTCCTGTGTTTTCATCTAATTTCTGTGTTGTCAGTAGAACATCATGTGGTCCACTGTCATTCTCTGTCCCATAAACCCCATAGACTCCTTCAGAAATGTTATAGTCTTCACCTGTGCAGAGATACATGCAAATCCTCTGGTAAACCTTCCCAAGTTCTTCTCTATATCGCCACAGAGAAAAGAATTCCTTACTTTGCGGACCAGGTATAAAGGTTGCATGTGAACCATCTTCTAACAGTAAATATGTCTGATCTTCCTGGATGTCACTTCTTCTGAAAGCTTTCTATTTGTTCAATACATGTTCAAGAATTGAATAATAATAAGTAGTATCTCTCTATTTTAATTTGTAAGTGATTACCCCACCTAGGCTTCAACTCACACTTCTTTTCATCGAAATACATGATGCCAACATTTATACTGAATATTTCTTCTTCATCACACATTTTTGTTTTCTTCCTTTGGGATGATATTTTCTGAAAAGCTGTTGATTTTTCTTTCTCGTTTGAACGTCTCAAACTGTAGTTTTTCGTTTACTTTATCATCTGAAATAATATTAGAAATAATTGAAATAATGAGATATAATAGTTTTAACTAAATATGCAAAAGTTTATGTCGTTTAATTACTTTGAAATTTGTGTAGTTTAATATTTGTGACTAGTACTGAGGTTTTAGAGATATCAAAGAAACAAGCCGTGTACGCCTATAGACACAGCTTATATGCATAAACACAGGCAACACTACAGCTGAAGTTAAACACACAGTATTTGTGTATAAATATGAGGTAATGCATATAAACCAAAATACTAGAGTAAATATTTATCCTGACAAGCAAAATACAGACGAGATAAAAACGAAGAGAAATAATGCGCGTGTGCTGAATGTATTGGAGGCATGAACTACAAATAAGGAATACTGTATTTACTATATTACAAACACATCTTCAATACTCATAATGCAGGAATTTTGTTTATTGTATGCAAAAACATTGACATTTTTCAATTTTTTTTATAACTGCTAGCAATGATCAGGGTAGTTCCAATTAGCTATGATATATTAATTTAATGAACTATATTTAATGAAATAATTACGATTTGATATTTTGGTCATATATCTTGTCAGACAACAACATTATAGCAGTAGTTGCATGTTCCTAACTGCAACAGTACTAAAGATATTACAAGTTAAGCATATTATTGGGGTCACAAAACC